AATAGTACGAAAATTGTTTTGCATATTATCTCACCTCGAGCAGTTTCAAAAGTATTTGGGTTAGTATTGGCTGCTTTTCCTTCAGGTATTGTATTTGATAGAAGCACTAACGCAAAGTTAAATCGCATAAACATTTTAAGAATTTATCAGCTTTTATGTATCGCTCAAAAAGTCATGGCGCACACGACTGAAGGATGGAAATTTTTAAATTTGTTTATGCTCAAGCCGATCTCAATTGTAAATGTACATTTTCAGTCAATGTTTGGTTCTTGAATTTTATGTTGACAATTTTTGTTAACTTTTGGCGTAAAGCTTTTGGCGTTTTTCAGCTCATTTACATTGAATCAACAAACTTCAAATTATTTTTCTTAACTTGTTTTTAACGCTAGCAATCCCCGGATTTTTGAAAAATTTCTACTAAAACGTTCAAAGTTCTTTGCAATCCTCGTTTGTTGTCTTCAAGATTCTTAGAAACTTTTTAACAATCTTTACCCATTGTCAAGATTTTTGACACAATCTTGCAGAATTTTCAATAAAATTTCTTCAAAATTTTCAAAGAGAGAGGGGACACTTTATTGTTTCAATATACTTATGCAGTTGCAGAACTGATTGTATAAGAATCTAGTGTACAATATTACGCAATGGTTATATAACATAACAAGAAAAAACATAAATTACTACGAGGACGAATCTAAAAATTGATTTAACAAAATAAATGTCCTTGGATGCGGAAAGACTCTCCTTATTGGGTAACAGGGTGTCATCTTTTCCTATGATGAAATTTTTAATCAGAGTTTTTGTCAATGTGTACGGTAGTTTTCGATTAAACAAGGTTCGGATTGTTGTGTTAAGGTTTCTGATTGATGTAAATAAGAAAGACTTACGAAGGAAATCAGTTTTACTTGCTAAAGGGAACAGTAATGTTCCAGTTCGATGGTTATAGCGGAATTCAGAATTTGGGAATCTTATATGCGTGAAAGCTGGGGCATCGTTTCGGCATAACCTGTGAAGGTAGTGTGCTGATCGGTACTCGATTATATTCCGAGCAGTAGGAATTTTGTGCTGTTTCCTTAGAAGTGTAACGGAATCTCGTTTGCTTATATTCATTATTATCCTGATTCCCCATTTTATTTGTTTTTCGAGTTTCTCAATATTATCTTGCGTACATCCGTTTAAGAGCATGCATGGATAGTGCAAATGGCTCAGTACAAGATTATTTAACAGGAGAATTCTAGAACGCAGAGGGATTTCGCCTCGGATGTAAAATTTTCGTCTTTTGTAAAATTTTGTTGATTTCTTTGTCGAATGTTAAGCTTATGTCAATATTGACGCCGTGAAATTTAACTGTCTCTGTTAAATTAACTTGATAGTTTCCAACTTTTAATGAAAAATTTTCAGTTAGTTTCTTTTTCGACGGTGCAGAAAATACAATGAACTGGGTTTTGTCTACATTAATCATTAATCGATCTAAGTGAAAATACAAGAGAATTTTATTGAAATTGTTTTCAATGCTCTTTGTTGCTGTTTCGGGATCTGAATGAAAACTAAGCAGAGTCGTGTCGTCGGCATATTGTACTAACGTACATGATTTGTCTATTGTTTGTGGCAAGTCATTTACATACAAGTTGAACAGCAGTGGTCCTAGTACAGTACCTAGGTGAACACCTTGCTCTAATTTAAGCCAATCTGAGTGTTCGCCGTTTACTATTGTCAATTGCTGTCTGTTTTCTAGAAATGACTTAATAAGAGTTGTTGCTGACTGTTCAAAGCCAATGTGACTTAGTTTCCTTTCAAGGACTGAATGAGATAGTGAATCAAATGCTTTAGATAAATCAAGAAATGCAGCCGCTGCTATGTTGTTTTTATCGAGATGGAATCTGATTTTTTCTGTTGTGTATAAAAGAGCATCTTTAGTTGAATAACCTGGACGAAAGCCAAATTGTTTTGGATTTAGAATATTGGAATTTGCTAAGAATTCGTGAATTTGGGATGAAAAATTTTTTTCAAACAACTTCGATAGAGTGGGTGTAATAGAAATTGGACGATAATTTACTGAACCTGTCGAGTCACCTTTTTTGAATATGGGAAAAACGTTTGCCTTTTTTAAGGTATATGGGAATACGGATTTCGAGATGCATTCATTGATAATCATCGTAAGAATTGGGTTTACAGTATTAATGCTATCTTTTAGAGCCCAAGCAGGGATTTTGCTTGGTCCTAATAGCTTGTTTAAGGGAAGTAATAAAATTGCATCTTTCATTTCTTCGTGAGCTATGAACCTGAATTGAAAGTGCCTATTTGTTTTGCTGTGTACACTGTACTCAGTTGGTACATCTATGGGAGGATCTGCGTTTTTGTATTCTCCTAATGTTGAGAACCTGTAGTTAAAGAAATTTGCTTTCTTCTTATTTTCAATTATAGTGTCGCCAAACGAATTCCGTAGATCACCTATTTGCATTGACTGTTTCATGGTGTTCCTGATAGAGTTTATGAAATTCCATTGTTTTTTTGGACAGTCAAGCATTTTGAATTGGGCTGTTTTCTCTTTCTTGTATAAATGTTTTAGATGATTGTTGTATTTATTTCTTATTCGTTTATAGTTTTGAAAATTGGCATCTAATCTTGATAATTGATATGCCTTTAGAAGATTTTCTTTTTCCTGTCTTAAAGGTCTGTTGACTGAGTTAAGTACTTTACCAGACAGCTGTAGCTGCGGTTCATTTCGGATATACTTCTGCTCTAGCGGTGCGTGAGCGTTTAGGGCATGCGAGAAAATATCTTCAAATTTTATTAACATTTTAGAGACATCGTTTTCTGGATAGACGAGAAACCATGGACTCTGTTTAAGTTCCTCGCAGAACCTATTTTTACAATAATTGGTTTTGTTGAAGCGAAAAGTTAGAATTGGAATGGTTTTTTCGAATCGTTTTAGTTTGCTAATACACATTGTTAGTAAATGGTCCGTGTTTATAGGTGGTTCTGCTACAATAGTTTCTTTACAAAGAGATTTGGTTGCTATAATGTTATCTAAAATGGATTGGCTGTTTTTAGAGTTGTATGTCGGTATCGACTTATTGCTTATTGACAAATTGTATGGTTTAATAGAATCGCTGAGAAATTTAGCTTCATATTTATTCAAGTAGTTAATATTGAAATCTCCCAAAATTGTAACATCTCGCGCTTCAGAGGCAGCGTAATTGATACCCTTTAGTGTATCTTCTATAGAAATTTCCTTGAATTGTTTGTGTGGATTGTAGGCAATAGCAATTATCTGTCTTTTTAATTTTTTTGAGATGATTGGGCTATATTCTACCCAAAGTCCTTCAAAATGGGAGGTACATAGATAATTTGAATCTTCTTGAATCTTAGGGTTAAATTTTTTTGGAATAAGAAGAAGAGTACCACCACCTGCGTGTTGACCTTTGCATTTTTTGTTACGGTCGCATCTAAAAATTTCATGGGTTGTTTTGCAGAATGAATAAGTTTGATGATCGCATGTTTCGTCAAGCCAGGTTTCCGTAAGACCGATAATTGTGTTTGAGTGAACTATTTCTGACAAGAAACGTATTTACATGTGTTTGTTCTTTATGCTTCTACAATTTAGAGTTATATATTTGAGGAAGTTGTGGTGTTCCTTTGCTTTGTTTGCCAAGATTTCATATGAAAGTGCGGGACCTGGATTGACTTCGATGTCCCCACATTGAAGAAGCAGGATTTCCAACATTCCAATCTGAAAGGTTAGTATCACAACTGCGCAATAGATGCCAGCTGTGAATCCAAAGTGGCGGTTAGACGTCATGTTTCTAGTTTTGAGTAGTGCGGTGCTGTTGGGTACATTGTAATTAATGGGAATGCTAGTTGTTAAAAGGGAGAATATAAGGAGAGTCTTTAAAATCCATTGGCTAAACACAAATTTGATAGATCCAGATCATTGGGTAATAGACTACTAAAACAACATTAGTATGGATAGTATCTATTATGGCGTAAGTCATAATTACTACGATTAGTATTCATATAACTGTAGGTTTGATTGTTGCTGAAATCATGGCTCGCAAGACTTTTTGGGTGCTCGGGGCCCCACGAGACTTGGCTTGAACCAGGTTTCATACGATTCCTCTGAGGGTGCGCTGGGCCCCTAGAGTTGGAAGTATTCGGAGAAACAACTCGAGGTGATAAGCTGGATAATGGTAGCACCTTTTCCATGATTGCATTTTTTAAAGTACTAACAGAACGCATCAAATGTACTTCATCAAAGAAGATTGACTGATAGTCGTTTATGCTGACAATTTTATCTTATATAGGAACAATTTGATACTTTTTTTTCTTAAGTTTATGAGCAATAAGGCTGTTGAATTCAGTTATACGTTTACCACTTACAGAATCGGGTCCCAATTTCACCGGCGGGACTTGGCATATATTGATTATTGCAGGTGAAAACTTTGTCTCAATTTCACTAATGGTGGCGCAAAAAGTTTCAAATATATCATCTACAGGTTTGTGTAGTTCCCTTGTGAGGGAATTGGTGCCGTCCTGGAAGGTTACTGTTTTCAGCTCAGTATCGTCGTACTTTTTCACAACTGATTGTTTCTCGCTGCAAAATGACACGCGGTAAGAATGAACTGCCACGTCTTTGGGCAGCTCCTTTGTGTCAAACTCCGCTAAAAAACTCGAACCAATAATCAAGTTTTGAGTATCAGTGGGGATTACTTTGGCAGCAAAATCAATAGGTGCTCTGAGTCCTTTTGCGTTTTGATTACTGTTTGGAGGATTACTGGATGTTGCTAGTACATTGACAAGGTTATATATGTAAACGTAGTACTTATCTTTTTGTTCGGGATTGAGTTTCGTGAAGTCGTCGGGCAGCATCAGAAGCATTGGTGTTGACATTGTGTGAAGCCAGGAAAATGCCAGGAATAATGGTGCTGTTGGTGTCAAGAATAATCTGCTGAAGTTAGTAGTCAGTGCCCAAAGAATGGCAACTAGTGTTTCATCACTCTCTATTTAATAAGTTTATCACAACAATTAGGCTATCACAAAGACTCATCAAGATTTGACAAATATGGCAAGGCCTGGGTAATAATTCTGAATTTGAAGTGTTTAAAACCCGTTTCAAAAAAAGGCCAAAAAATTGACTTTATAAATTTTAGATTCAAAATTTTTCAAATCAGGCTTAGCCTGATAACAGAAATTTTGTCAGAAAATAAATAATTCGTTAGGTATGGGTGATCCAGCGCTACTTAAGTGCTGTAACAGCTTTGAATCATCACTGAATCAGCGATCACCTTTGAATCAGCTATTACATTGCTGATCCATCTTTGGTTCATCGCTGATTCAATGTTGATTTATCACTGATTCAGTGATGATTCATTACTGATTTATCACTGATTCAGTGATGATTCATTGCTGATTTTAAGGATGATTATAGTGCTGAGTCAACGCTGACCAGTGTTAACGTGGCAGTAATCAGAACCTGATGCATTAACCTTGATTCAGCGCTTAAACTCGCCGTGAATTCAACCCCCCGAAGTAGTATAGATATACGACACTGGGATCGGGGGGGGGGGGGGTGATCCCTACAGGGATCATTGGGTATAGATTCCTAATGATCCCTATGTAAATATTTATACCTAATGATCCCTATGTAAAATATTTATACCTAATGATCCCTATGTAAAATATTTATACCTAATGATCCCAATGTATAATTTTTATCCCTAATGATCCCTATGTAAAATATTTATCCCTAATGATCCCTATGTAAATATTTATACCTAATGATCCCTGTGTAAATATTTATACCTAATGATCCCTGTGTAAAATATTTATACCTAATGATCCCTATGTAAAATATTTATACCTAATGATCCCAATGTATAATATTTATACCTAATGATCCCAATGTATAATTTTTATACTTAATGATCCCTATGTAAAACTTCGGTAAATTATTGAGTATTCCCACTGAACGTTGTGGAACCGGGAATGGAATTAAGTTTTGGTCGGTGCATATTTTCCCTTCTAAAGTTTGGGGGTATTGGCTTGTTTACATGTAAAAGGACGTTATATATCTATTATATGTAATAGGAAAGCACCAGATTTTGGCAGCGTAGCTTAACTGTTGGCTGCGGTGAACGATTTCCTTCAAAAATGCATGTTTTATTGCTGAATCTCAAAGAAAGGAAAATTCGTCAATTGCGGCGGCCGCCACCTCTATTTAGGTAAAAGCTAATGATCAATTTGACCGAAATAAGAATGAAAAGTTTCTTTAAGCCAAATGAAAGTAAAAAACAAAGAAAAATTTTGCAACACTGAAAACTCTAAAATAATGAAATTGGCTTGAAAATTTCGACATTTCCATTTTCCGTGTCTACAGAAGACTGAAAAATAAACGTCTGAAATCTATGACAAAAGCTTTGATTTTATAGAAAGGTTGAAAGAGCTAATAAGTTGTAGTGGGTTAAGATCTTGAAAAACGAGAACACTGATGAAAGCCAAAAGTGCCCAGAATTATTATCAAAACTTGTACCTAACTTGTTACTATAAAATTGAAGTGGATCAAAATTTCTTGGGGTCCGAGTAGAGGAAAACGCATGGCGCTCGACTCTCAGCCGAAAGGCGGCGTTTCGAAACCCGTCCGGAAATTGTACTGAAAGGAGGCAACAGTAGCTGGTATGGTGATATCCCCCCATAGATCGATTTTGTACTTTTTTCTCACTTTGAATTAACTTCTCGAATTACTGCTATTCAGTTAACAATTGGGTAAAATTTCAATTACTAAAAGAATGTATTGTTCAAAATGAAATTGTAAAGTGTATAAAACAGCTATATTAAATGGTTAGTTAATGGGTAAGCATGTGAGTTAGGAAACGTTTCAAAACATGATCAGTTATATAAACAAAATCAGAAGCATCACCATTAAAGTTTTTATCAAAAATCAAATGTGCAATATAAATACAAAAAGAACCGCACATGGTAGAGTTTGAGTCTTGCATGGGAAAGTTTGTCATCAATTCAGTCACTTGATGAAAATTCTCGTTCAATCGTTTATACAGATTGGTGTACTGCCAGAGAGGAAGACCGAGAGGATCAGCGAAGTATAAAACATTTCTTCTGTTGCATATCACAATCCAATGTGTCCCCGGAGAATCTGATTTTGAAGTGTTCACAATCATAAAGATGTTGTTTGGGATGTGAGGTGGAAAATTGTCGGCTGCAAATACTCCAAAAAACTTATATTTCAGATGTTTACAATTCTGAATGAGGTCCTGCAACTGGATTTCATCCATTTTCAGACTGTCGAAATGGGAAGGACGTTCTTTGTAACTTTGCGGTCGGAGGTAATAAATACATTGGATGAGCGTATACCCCAAACAAAAATTTCCAGGTTTGCTGTCAAAGCGTTTGAGAATTGAAGATCGAGTGAAACTGAGCAGTTAGTAAGTTCTGGATGCAAGAAGTCATGAGCTGCCTGCTGTGTGCTAGTGAGATCAAAACACATAATAAAGTGCTGTTGGTAGTTATCCAGAGTGATTCCCAGCCCGCAGTGCAACAAACCCAGCGCTGATAGTGTGTTGAAGAAGAGACGCTTATGATCTTGTGTACTGATTGGTGTACTTGCTATTGGTAAACCATTTCGTCTCAAAGTAACTTGCTCCAGTCCAAATTTTTGATAATGAAAAGGATTCGTTCGGTTTGTTCCTAGAAATGCATTATTTGTGTTCAATGCTATGATAATTTGTCTCACCGGTTCACGAGCAAAAATATCTTCCTGTTGCCAGCTGCGCTGACCAGCTGTTGCAAGAAATGTTTTTGTAATTTCTTCTTGATATGGGTAGTTCGCAGGAGTTTTGAGCAAAGTTGATTCAATGGCAGAGAGCACATGGTCGGTCACAGTCATTTTTCTAACATACAGGTTCGCTTCGAGTATTTGCAGCTTGTAATGCTTGGCAGCATCTTCCGATATAATGAGAAAGTCTTCATGAGAACGTCTGTAGGAAAGTCTGAGGGTAACACCGCTCAACAAATGCTTGTCACATGTGAAAAAATCAACTCCAGCGGGTCCATAGAACCAAATTTCATTCGATTCACGGACCAGTTCTCGTTGAGGTGTGAAATCAGCTGCATCTATTGCAGCGGGATTGTTTTCAAAACGATATCCCTGACACTTAAGCCACGAGTCCTTGGCTCCTTTGCTGTTAGAAAATTCTGTTCCAATAAAGCTTTTATGCGCAAAATTACTATTGGCATTTGAGATTTTGAGTCCATTAGCAGAGAGGGTACAGTCAGAGAAAAGGGAATACAGGGAGTTGTTTACGAGGAACGGTGAATCAGACACAGTAGGATCAGTGTTGTCGTATCGCAGATCAGCTCCACTTGATTGCGTTACTTTGCATCGTATTTCCAAATAAATTTTTTGCAGGTCAACAAAATTATTACGGTCACCGGTGATTTCAAATTCAAGCATTGGTCCATTAGGTGAATAGACAGGTCCAATTTTTTGATCAAAAGCGTTTTCAAAAGTAATCAAAAGAGGTTGTTTTTCAAACAAATCCAGAGAGCTATGGGTAGCTTCATTGGGTAACAAATTAGCGATCATTTTTTATGTTTGAGAAAAAATCTGCTCGACTTCTCACTGGTCTGGTTTTTCTTCGAATGATTGTTTTTCTTTTTCGAGCCCCTACTGACCTTCTTCTTCGTAATCCATTCATTGGTGTCTTTCGACAACGTCGTCTACCACCACCGAGTTGTTTTCTTGCAGTTTTTGTGACAGTGTTTTTCAATGCTTGTTTAGGAGACTTCTTTTTCATAGCGACATCAATTAGTTCTGGCGCTGCACTCATCAAAAGTTCTCTGCCCAGTTTTTTCGCAGCCGGTAGAATAACCCGTCGTGCAAACGGTATAGCAACACGACCAATACCAGCAGCCAAAGCGCCAAATCCACTGCCGCGTTGTCGGTAGTGTCCAGAGAAATGAGGAAGTGAAGCTTGCTTTGCATAATATTGTTCCATTGGTTTTCAATCAAAGCGCTTGAATTTTAGAGTCAACACAACTTTACCAGTTCCTGCAAAGGGCACTAGTCTTCCACTTTCTGTGCGCAACTGTACCGATATTGATTGTACAGATGAAGTGAATAATTTTTTATAGTCTAAATTAGTGAAGTTTTTTCGATGATTAGGTTCAATGCTGCAGGCACTACCGTTTTTGATGCGTCTATTTGAATCAATGACGCGTAACAATGGGGCCTTTGCATCACCAACAGTTTGGTATTGAATAATGTCAATATAGACAAAAATTAGACTTGTCCCACTTGATAAGTCATATGGGAAATGAGATTCGTACAGTTCGTTTCCCTCATAAGATGCATCGAAGGAGGGTATCATTTTGTATCCAATGTGATATTCACCGTTCTCATCAAGCTTTGCATTGTAGCCTAACAGACTGGGTATTTGGGGACTTGGGAATGAGATTCCTTCATTTGCGTTCATCCAAATGCTCATGCTATTCGTGATTTCTTGAGGACTCGCATCAAAATGAATTTTGTCTTTGAGTTTTGTTTTTATCTCATTAATCAATTGTTCTATAAAAGTGTACTCTCCTGATTTGATAAAAACTTTTTCGCCATAGTAGGGTCTGGAAATTGTATTCGGATTGCCAGCGTTGGATTTACTGGCTACTACTTCGGATGCTCTGAAGTACGTAAATTCCTCATCAGTAACATTGTTTAATTTTGTGGGGAAAATTATTTCTGAGAGAGCAACTCTCCAATCTCCGTCTAAAGCTATTTCTTCTTTACAAAAATTTCTAAAACTGGCCAAAGTGTTGTCTGGGAAATAATCCATTGATGCTGTTGAAATCAAATGTACAGTAAACTCATCACTGCCCATTTTCGTTATAATCAGCTTTGTTTCCAATTAAACTAAGTTCTTTTTCATAAAATTTTCCGCTGATTTCTTCCTTTTCCGCATCAATGAGACTGTATGTTGGAGGGTTTACAGTAGGAATGGCAACTATTTCAAAAACT